CAGCCCCCTCAAATCAAGTCACACTCCCAATAGCCTCTGTCACGTGGGAATTCCTGGACCTGGGTCTCTACGCCCTTGTGCATTCTGAATGCTGTTGCTTCTGTGATGTTTCTCTGCCTGTTGGCTGCTGAGGATGATCAGGTGCTGCTAATGTTGTGTGGTCACATAGAAACCCAGCCAAGGATCTCTCCCACAAAGAGCCCAGGTGTGGCACCTCTGTGGCCCACAGAGGATTGTCCATCTAGCAGCCTAGGGTTCCAGATAAATTTCCAAAATCCATTAGTTTTGTTTGTTTTTAAGTGTATGTGCTGCACATGGTAGTGCACACCTTACAGACTCTATATTTAGGATGCAAAGGCACAAGTTCCAGGCCAGCATGGGCTGCCTAGCAAGAGCCCGTCATAATTTATGTTTGATTCTGAATCTATGGAGTCAGAATGTCATTATTGTAAAACTGGAAACCGCTATGAAAAACTGATGAGACATTTAGTGGGCAAAGATGGTGTGCTCGAGCCCATACCAACTATATATATATATATATATTTACATATAATATATATAAGCTTTGCTTTATATCGAGTAGGAAGTGGTCAGCTTTGTCCTGCAGGTGTAGCTCAATAGTAGAGCATTCACCTAGTATGCATGATGCCCTGGGTTCAGTCTCCAGTGCCGCAACGGAGGCGGTGGGTGGGATCATTCAGCTCTAAAGCTGTTTTTAACACTGATTATGGACCAGGCTGGACCATTTCTATTAACCTGAGTCTTGTGGGTGAAACTCCAGGCTGAGGTAACCAAACTCCAGATCACACGTGTTGTTCACTCCAGAATCATGCTTGTTGCCCTTCCTGTACTAACGTTTCCTCAGATGGCCTGGCCTCCACCTGTTAAAACCCAGTGGTGACTTCTCCCGACCATCAGACTCTAAGGACAGTCTGTTGCCTTTGCAGATGCTTTTGTTTTGACACTTGACTGAAGTGGAAGGCCGCACAGAACAGTGTGCTGGCCGTGTCCCGGGCCAGTGGACCATAGCTAGACAGGAGAGAACAACAGCCGCCCGGGCTCTGGTGGTCTCCCTCTGGGCTGGCCACATGTAATGAGCCACCACTCAGAGTCTTGGCAAAGCAGAAGCCATGTCTCAGGGAAAGCCCCTGGTTGAAGTGTCTGTCCTCTATGAAGGCACAAAGGCCACTCTTGAATGTTCCGTCCTCTCGTCACTTTCAGGCAAAATAAACTTGGTTGTGTTCCTGCCTTTGCTGATGTCTGTCTAAGCAGGCTGCAGGGCTGCCTGCACTTAGTGCCCCTAAGCCACACTATACCATGCTCAGCCTGCAGCCACTCCCCTTGGGGGTGGGGGTGGGGGGATAGGGGTGCTATGAAATCCCATGGTGCTTAGAGGCAGGCTTCCAGGGACTATTTTGGGTTTTTTTTTGTTTTTGTTTCTTTTTAACAAGATTTATTTTTATTTTTATGTGAATGGGTGTTTTGCCTACATGTATGTCTGTGTACTACATGCATGCCTGGTGCCCAGGGAATCCAGAAAGGGTGTCAGATCCCTTGACACTGGAGTTACAGACAGTTGTAAGCCAGCATGTGCTAGGAACTAAACCTGAGTCTTCTGGAAGAGCAGCCAGTACTGTTAACCACTGAGCCATCTTTCTAACCCCTTAAATATGAGTCTTTTTTTTTAATATTTTTTTATTTTTATTTTATTTTATTTTATTTTATTTTCTATCATCAGCTTAATACAGTACAAATTTTTATCCTAGTAGTGAAATATTTCACTGATGCTTGCCCAGTGATTGAATAAAACCAAAACTTATTATAAGCCACAGTCATCCTAGGGTCCCCCTGCTATGTAGCCTCTCTGGATCTGTGGGTTGCAGTCTGATTGTTCTTTGCTTTATATCTAGTATCCACTTATGAGTGAGTACATACCATGTTTGTCCTTCTGGGTCTGGGTTACCTCACTCAGGATATTTTCTAGTTCCATCCATTTGCCTGCAAATTTCATGCTGTCATTGTTTTTCTCTGCTGAGTAGTACTCCATTGTGTATATGTGCCACATTTTCTTTATCCATTCTTCAGTCGATGGGCATCTAGGTTGTTTCCAGGTTCTGGCTATTACGGATAGTGCTGCTGTGAACATAGGTGAGCATGTGTCCTTGTGGTATGAATGAGCATTCCTTGGGTATATGTCCAAGAGTGGTATGGCTGGGTCTTGCAGTAGATCGATTCCCAGGGACTATTTTTGTGTCAGCCAATTGTCCTGAGAAGCCACCATCTCTCTCCCTGTGACTGCTTTCCCGCCTTGTTTGACGTTCTAACAGCCTGGAGAGAGCATGTGCGTGTGGATGTCCTGTCTGCAGAGACCTGGGTGCTTGGGGAGGTGCAGAAATGATGAGCACGGGCAGGAGCAGGGCCAGTAGGGGTCCAGGGGAGACCCAGTCACAATGGACCCCTTACCCACCTGTCCATTTGCAAGTGGGGAGATATGACTTGTCCAAGGCCACACAGTGAATTTGTTACTGAGCAGTCTGTTCTGACTTAGTATTGAGAACACTAAGGTTCACACCCTACTAGGCCAACCGCCTGAACTCAGAGCCCATGAGAGGGCCAGAGTATGGCACAAAGTTCATGCAGGCTCCTCTTGAGGCCCCATCCCACCAGACAGGCCACACTTCCAAGCCAAACCCCACCCGGCTGCTGTGGCCAGAGGTGGTGAAACATGCAAAGCACTGCCTTGCTCTCTCACGGTGCTCCAAGCTGATTGATGGCACTTGTTGTGCCATCGTACCCATGGAGCATCCAGGTGTGCAGATGAGAGAGAGAGATCCCTGTCATTACTACCCAGCCATAGCATCTGATGGCTTTGCAAGGATCCTGGACCCCGGGAGGAGCGAGCACCCAGGCCAGCCCCCACCTGCCATCGGCCACAAGTTTGGGAGAGTCACTTGACCTCTTGGGAGCTCCAGCTCCTCCATGTAAGACAACACAGAGGTGATACTCAAGGCTGCTGCTTGTCGGGTGAGGGTACGGTAGCTCCCTGAGAGAAAGGTTCAACAGGCTTTTTAATGGAAGCAGCCTGGGGATGGTGTCCAATACCAAATGGTCCAGAGACTTCCCAGAAAGAACAGCCTTTGCTCTGAGTGGTATCCACACCACATAGATGCAGGTGAGAGCTCCCATCTAGAGCAGTATGTCCAGGGGTAAATAGGCCTTTGTGAAACTCTCCAGAATTACACTGTTGTCCCTTCTCCTGGGCCCATAGCTCTGTAGCCAGCACATCCTGTAGGAGTTCTCAAGGGGCACCTTTTAGCTCTCACTGGAATGCTCAACTACAGACTTGATTTTTCTGGAAGTAGCCCTGTGGAGAAACCAGCTCTTCCTCAGTGTGTTATTCAGGAGCAGCCAGCCCCTTCCCTCTGGTTCTTCACGTCTGACAGCAGGAGTGGGGTCAGGAATGGTACCTAGAATTTCTGCACTTGGGAGGCTATGGCAGTAAGACAATGAGGATTTGAGGCCAGCCAGGGATATATTTGAGTTCCAGGCCCTTCCTGCTAAGTCACTTCCCTCACCAATGGCAGCCTGGAGACCTGGGCTGGGCCAGCAGATCAGCAGTTGCAGTCATCAGGAAGGAAGCAGGGCACCTACCCTGACCCTGTGAACATGGAACGTGAGAGCCAAGAATGCTGTCTGAGCTCATCTCCTACAGCAGAATAAGTGACATGCCAAGTGCGGTGGCGCACACCTTTAATCCCAGCCCGTGGGAAGCAGAAGCAGGCAGATCTCTGAGTTTGAGGCCAGCCTGATGTACATAGCAAGTTCCAGGTCACCCAAGACTACATAGTGCGACCTTGTCCCCCCCAAAAAAACCCACCTTAAAAGAATGAGTGGGTACCAGTGGCCTGACAGTTGGTAAATTATTAGTTGCCTTTTTCCAGGCACTGGCCCAGAATGTCCCTGTATCTTGACCTCTCTAAACTAGCTGAGCTTTCAAGTTCAGGGACTAAAACTAAAAGGACTTCTGGATTGCAACTAAGACATAAGGAGTGCTAAGCCGGTATTTGAAGTATGTGAGCAGAGTGGGAGCACACACACAAACAGCTTAAATCTCCACAAAGTAACTGAGATTGTTTAAAGAGAGCCCTTACTGAAACTGGAAGAGAACCCACAGGCTGGAGGACTACGTGACCCAAATGAGGTGAAGAGAAAGCATTAAAACGTCCATAGTATCGTGTGTGTGTGTGTGTGTGTGTGTGTGTGTGTGTGTGTGTGTGTGTGTGTGTGTGTGCGTGCTTGCGTGCGCACGCACTCGCTGAAAGACCTTCCTAGAGGAAGGGAGGCCCAAGAGATGGCATCAGGCAGAGGGAGGTCTTGCAGGCAAGGGCACCCAAGATCTGGTGCTGAAGGACCTGCGTGACAAGAGCAGACCCAGAAACAGATGGATTCCACCCCTTCTAGAAATTAGAAAGTTTTACTGGATGAATAAAACTGGAAACCATTTGATGCATACATGGCCAGGCTTTGCATCTGAACATGCACAGCTGAGGCAAGTATCAGCCAGCCTGACTCCCAGGGGCCCATCACTGGAAGCCACAGAGTCCCCAGAGAGGTAGGCTAGGACTCAGAAGCACAGACAATCCCATTTGTGCCTGAGGGCAGACACTGGCCTACACTGCCCTCCAAGCTATTGGCTCATAAAACTTTTGTAAGGTACCCCGCACTTTCCCACCCTTGGTATAGGGCTCCCGCCAGTGTTCGGCCTGGTGATGACACAAATAACTACACAACTTTCCCAGAAAGGAAAAGACTACAGGATGTCACGGAGACCCACTACATAATGGGCATCTGGCTACCCAAGTAAGAACTGTCGTCCATCTTAACCACTAGAGCCAGGGCTTCTCACCGCCTCTCTCACCATGAGCTGACAGGCTAAATGGTGCACCGGATAAACACAAGGTAGGAGAGGCAGTACCCCACAGATCACAGAACACCACCACTGGGCAACCTCAGAAACATTTATTGACAGCTATTCCTAACCCAGGTTCCAGGGTCCAAGCAGTGTGAGCGTGGGTACTCAGTGAAGTACCACACCAGTTCCCCAGCCAGTGAGGACAGTGAGCTCTCTTGGACAGCCTAGGACAGAGAACAAGCCCAGTCTGTAGCCACGTGGCTCAGCTTGCTGTCTGGTCCCTCACTTGTCTCTTACGGGAACGGCGTGAAGCGGTGGAAGTTGAGTGGGGTTGGTGGGGGTATGCTCTGAAGTCATGGGTGTGGACGAGGGAGTGCACTCAGGGATGAACAGTTGCTCGGTGACAAATGACTCCAAGTGGCACATGTCCTCATCAAGGAGACCCACATAACCTTGACTCGTGACCCCCAAGCAGATGGCAGATCAAACCCCCTGACTTTGTGGTCAGGAGCTGGGCAGGCCAAGCTCAGGCCTCACCTAAGTCACTGTACTGAAGGCCCTCTGCTGTTCCAGTGACAGCCCTGTGGGGTCCTAAGCCCACCCTTTGCCTCCAGCTGCTGTGACCTGGCTGCTACTGACTGGTGGCCCCTATGTGAACAGTCTCTGAGTGAGCCGCAGCACAGCCTCATAGGCCACAAACACCACCATGTTGACAGGAAAGGCGCGGCAGCAGTTGAGCGCCAACCCTTTGAAGAGCACCCTGGGGCCCTCCTCCCGCACGCTGGTCACCACACAGTGCAGGAGGCCCCGGTAGCGCTGCTGGCCCTGCCCATCCGCCTGCAGGCGTGACTTGATCACATCCATGGGGGTGGCCACGGCCCAGGCCAGGACCCCAGCACAGCCTCCAGCCACCAGCACACCTAGGACATCTGTAAGACACAGTGACCATGCCTTGTAGCAAGCTTCTCGGAGACAGGACCCAGCCCAGGGCAGTTCACTAACACTAAGTCAAGATAAACCCCTCTATCACTAAGTCACTGTATGGCCTTGAACAGTCTCTCTCTCTCTCTCTCTCTCTCTCTCTCTCTCTCTCTCTCTCTCTCTCTCTCTCTCTCTCTCTCTCTCTCTCACACACACACACACACACACACACACACACACACACTCAGAAACCCTACTTGAAAAATAAGGCAGGCAGATAAAGATGCTTAGCTTGATTCAGTGTTGGTGAGCTGCACTGCACAGATTCCTCTCCCAGCCCCCATCCCACTGGGCCAACCCCACCATCTGCCTGTCACTCACCTGGCTGGCTATGGCCAGCTGGGGTGAGCCACTCACAGAGCATGGCATAGGAGAGAAAGTAGGTGGCAAAGGAATGACCTTCACGAAGGAGCAGAGCTGAGCTGCCCTTGTAGAGTCCCCGAAGCCCCTCCTCACGGGCCACTGTGGCTAAACAGTGCAGTGGCCCACGGTACTTGGGCCTGGGCTCCAGACACGCAGTGGGTGCAGGACACAAAGCAGGAGCCACTGACGTCCAGGAGGCTGAGGGCCGCCGCTGCTGTGTCTGAGCTTGGGCCTGTGTCTGCAGGCGGACCTTGGCCACCTCAGTGGGTGATGTCAAGAACACCTGGGACAGAGAGGAAGCAAGAATAGGACTTGCCTGTAGCCTGCCCACACACTAAGACCCAGCTTTCCAGCTCTAGGACCCAGTGCTGAGAGCCTGGATCCCTAGAAGCTGCAAGCTGGTCCCAGGGTTTTGATGGTGCTACGTTGAAAGCCAGCTCAGCTAATTTAAGGCTGAAACCAAAGTCTCCTATATTTCTCCTATCTGAGAACACTGGCTTGACACATACCGGGTGCTAAGTTAATGTGACTAAGTTCAAGAGCATAATTGACACACACACAGTTGTTTGCACTGTAGTCATATTGCTAAAAGCAGGGCATGGTGGTCACTGTGGGACTCAGATGGATCAGGCTGCACTGGGGTCTTTACGCGCAGTCTCCCTTAATTCTCATCACACCTCTTGCCCATGAGATGGCAGCTCAGAAAGGCTCAAGAGTTGAGCCTGGCGGGCTAAGCTTATTGGCCTTTGGTCTCTGCACTGTGTGTAGTGGGTACAACACTTGGCCCCTCAGCCCGTGGAGGCTCTGATTAAGGATTGAGTGGCTTATCCATGCTCTATCCTGGCCTGTGAGGGACCTCAGCTGCACTTGCCTGCCTGGTTCCCATCTGTGGTGCCTGATGTTCCATCTCCACTGAGGATGAGGGATGCCAAGTGTCCATGGTAACACTAGATGGTGTTCAGTCATTTGCTAGACACCCTGAAGATGGAGCCCTCCCACCTGAGAGGTCAGAAGCACCTGAGTGCTATCTCTCTGGGTTCTCACACCCTGACTAGCCCATCCCAGGCAGAATACTAGTTCCTCACCACAATCCCCATGCCCTGTAGGCTCTACCTTCACAGAGCCGCAGTCTTGACACCTGTTGGGAAGTGTGATTCAAACTCCCTGGGTATCTCGGATGCCCTTCCACCCTCAACTGCCTCTACTCACCCGCACAAGGCCAGAGGCGCATCCTGAGAGTGTGATATCAGCCTTGGTGGGCTTGGCGTCAGTGCTGCCGTACCGGAAGCGGCAAATGTGAGCCAGGCAGTGGTGGTAGGTGCCAAAGGATACAGATGACACCAGGGACACCGTGCACACAGGAAGTGAGAGGCCCCGGTAGAAGCCCCACACCTGGTGGATAGAGAACAAGTAAGAACAGGATCCGAGAGAGAATGCCCTGGGGCTGGGAAATTTAGGACTGACCACCATCTCCCTTGCCTCCAGACATGACCTTTGGGATCTCAGCACTTGATGTTTGAGGGGGGGGGGGTGTTAAAGAGACAGCTGCCTGATCTTGATAGTAGAACCAGCATGATGCTCAGCTAACCTCTGCCTGCATCAAACCCCAAGTTCACTTGCATAAGTGTCCCCAAGACCTTCCCCTGGATGAGCTCCTCCCTGGCCTTCAGAAGCTCAGGTTCCCCTGTAGACAGGGACTTGGTTCTGTACCAACTTTGGGGCAGAGGGGATCCCAGGGCTGGGCACAGTCATATCTTTTTGGAGGCCAAGAGGCTAGGGCTCAAGGGGAAGGACATCACTATCAAGTCCCAGCCCAATGCCACCCTACCATCGCGCCCCAGTCCTACCCGCTCTTGACGATACGTGTCCCGGATGCAGTGCCAGATGCTTGCGTACTTGGCCTCAGTCTGGATCCTCACCTAGGGAAATGGAGAAGGCTTCAGAAAGAGCTGGGCCTGGGCCTGGGGCAAAGCCAGTGGAAGCCTAGGCTCCGCCCCTTGACTGTCAGGCATGCTGCTGTAGACTGAGAATGAGACCCCTGAGGCACAGGGAGAGAGAGACCGACAGTCCCAAGGGCCACTGGGAGCCATTGAAGGTGTTAGAGTAGGAGAGGGCTAGGTCCTCTTAGCATTCTAATTGAGGACCCAAGCTGGGGACAGGAGACACGGTCATCTAAACCAAGGTAGGGCCTTGCTGTACCTTCACTGTGTCCAGAGGGTAGCCCACAGCAACTCCGCAGACTCCTGCAAGGCAATCAGAGAAACCAGTGAGGCAGCAGGAGGTGGCCCTGTCAGCACTGAGAGCCTCAGGCAAGCCCCCCTCTCCCACCTCCACCTGACCCTACCTGGGCTCCGCCTCTCTGCAGCCAGATGAGAAACTTGAGGCTCAGTATGCACCTGCCAAGCTTGCTAGATATCTCCCAACCCTGAATCCTGGCCCAACTGTGCCTATCCCCATTGCCCAGGCCAAGGACATTCCTCAGCCTCCCCTCTGACATCACATTTTGGGAGAACATCTGGTTCCACTCTGGCTGACCCTGTCTCTGAGCCAGGCAGACTTTGCCCTCAAGCCTGAGCCTGTGCCGGGTTTGTGTGGGAGCCAGGTGAACACCCACACATTACAGAGATGGGGGAGGGACACATTGTGAGTAAAGGCCAAGTGAGCAGCCCAGACTCCCCCCAGACACACACCCAGGGCTCTTTGGCCAGGATTGCCTGGAACCAGGTCCGTGTGGAATAGAATGTGCACTGCTGCTATGGTCTGAACAGACTCCCCCAGAGACTCCCCCAGAGGCTCTGCGGGAGTGGCAGAGCCCGCAAGAAGCCCTTAAGTCACTGGGGTCACGTTTTGGAGGGGACTATGAAATTGCAGCCCCTTGTCTTTTGTCTTCCTAGCCAAGAGAACTCCCTACCACTGTCCTCCAACAGCCACACGGAGGCCCAAGCAGTGGGGCCACCTGGTGGTCACAGCCTGGGGAACTGCCCGCTAGGGTAACCATTCCTCTGCATGCGTGGGTTCACTGAAGACAGTGGACACAGCTGCTGACCCACCTTGCAGAGGGCCTGTAGTGCCGCCCCTGGCTTTGGACCAGGAGATCCACACTGCCCTCCGAGCCCTGCCGCTCCAGCTCTGGGTCCTCCACATCTAAGGCTAGCACAGCCTTGAGGAAGCTGAGGAGCCAATCAGGGGCTTGGGCTTTCTAAACCCCCCGAGCAAGAATGCCAAGGACACTGTAGAGGATGAGAAAGCCCATGGGGTTGTGTCCTGGGACATGTTCGAGTAGAAGAATGAATTTCTGGGTGGGGGTGGGGGGTATAAAGCAAGCACCTGACAGAAGACTCAAATGGAATTACCTTCTATGTCTCTCAGACACCTCCCCAGCTCCTATCTGTCTCTCAAAGCCCTCCTCTCTTGGGCCTTCCTGCTGTGCTCTTGGTTGCCTCTGCCTGGAAGCATGTTGATCAGAACCTGTATCATATGGCCTTGCTGCTATGGCCCACATGCCATGGCAACCTATGCATCTAGAGTTCTTCAAGGGAAGACTTGGGTCTGAATCCCTGGGACCCGGGAATCCAGACCCAGCGCAGAGCTAGGACCCCATCACTAGGGCCTTTCCTGTGGCTATGAGGAGGGCATGGCCTGCTGTGGTGCCAACGTTCAGAGGAGCAGCCAGCCTTGGTATGGCAGAAGCCAAGACCCCCAACAGCCCCAGACAGGGCCAGGACCCAGTCCTCCGAGGCTATCCTTCCTGGCCCCCAGGCTGTCCCCAGCAGTGAGAAAGCCACCCACGACTATTTCACAAGAGCTGCGGGGCCAAGGGTGCCTCACTCAAAATAGCTGCACAGCCTGCAGATCGATGACCCATGGAGTCCCTGTGGGCAGCCACCTCCCCCCTGTCATCTCTCCCTAGGAGGGAGACAGTTACAGCCACAGGGAGGTATGATGTTGGTAGGCCTCAGTGGACCAGAGAAACCATCCATCCGGGCCAGCTCTATGTCGAGTTCCCGCTTCCTGCCATAGAATTCCTGGGTGCACTGTTCTTCCCTGAAGCCTTCTGCCCTCTCCCAGGGCTTATTCGCCCACACCAAGGACCCAGCCGTCTCCTAACTCCATAGGAACAAGTTCCTCTTCCCAAGCCAGGGATCCCTAGCCTGCCTCGGCATCCTGCCTGAGCTTCAAGGCCATATAGGAACCTGCCCTCCCCTTCAGCACCCGTAGCCCACTCCCGGGGTCTGCTCAGATCTCAACTTAGGGCTCCCTCCCACTTACCACACACACAAAAGCACCATCCCCAGATCTCCCCGACCCCTGCACCCCTCTATCCCTATCTCGTACCTCCAATGGCCCCAGCAACAAAATCCATGGACAGTGTGGGAAATGAGAAGAGCTCCGGTCTCTCTGTCTATGCCACAATGGCCAGCTCCTACAGTTCTGCACATCTTAAATACCTGTGAGCAGAGGCGGAGACAGGGCTGCACAACAGGCTGTTTTGATGCCCACATTCACACACCCCACAAGGACCCTGGTGCCGATGACCTCAGCATCAGGAAAGCAGGTGAGAGGTCATGGGAGGGAGCCAACCCCAGACATGGGTCTGCCTCTATTTCTGGATTCAGACCATGCCTGGCTTCTGACTGCTTACAGTGGCTGTGTAAACAGTGACCCCCTCGTATGGGTACCCCACTTCACGGTTTACCTCCAGGCCTGAAAGGGAAGGAAAGCAAGGGCCTCTTCTAGTCATGGAGCCACCAAGACCCCAAGGGGGACTTGCCTGAGGCAGCCACCGTCTTAGAGCCATCCCCTCTGACATCCAGCCCTTGAAGGGAATACAGCCTTGTCTCTATGGCCACTGCTGCTAGTTCCCTTCAGAGGCTCAGTGACCCAGGCTGCAGCCCTACCAAGTGACCTGGGGGGCACCCTCAGGGCCAGAGAGTTGCAGAACGGAGGGAAGGGGCATGTTGACATGGAGCGCCCAGCAGTTCTGTCTGGATGGCTCTCATGGAAGGGCAGCAGGAGGCCACGTGTCCACCTGTTTTCCTGTTATCTGTACGCTGGCCTTGAACAGGCTAGTTTTAGACCAGGGATGACCCCTCACCCCGACACTTTGTCTGCTTTTAGGCAAGTAAGCAGTGCTAGCTGCCACAGCAGAGGGCAGAGGGCAGAAGGGACAGAGGGAGACTGGAAATAGCTTGTCCAAGGCCAACATGATGTCCATCCTGTAGAGGGATGTGGCTCAGCATCTGATTAGAAGTTGACCTGCCTGCCATCATATCCCAACTCCACCACTTGAGACAAGGCCTGTGGCCTTCCTCTGCCTCCACTTCTCCACCCGAAAAATCTGTGAGCACACGGAGCAAGCTCCAGCTGTGTTCCTGCAGAAATGCCAGCCAAATTCATTAATAGAAGTAGAGGGTCTAGAAAGAGGTGATGGCTCTGCTCTGGAGAGGCAGCTGGGCCAGATGTTACACTCAAGAAGCTAGGCCCTTCGTCAATGAGGGAGCCTAAAACACACATTCCACCTGAGAGGACAGGGACCCTTGGGTCCCACATTGCCAGTGGAGTAGGGCCATCCACCATGACACTGGAGCCCAAGGCCCCAAGTTACCTGGGTGCCTTTCTCTCTCTGCCCCACATCCAGACAGTCTCGGTGTCCCTCTTCTACTGTCAGTCAGGACCACTTGCCGCTGTCCACCCACGCTGCTCTAACCATGTCATTATTCCTGGACAGCAGCCCACCTGTCCAGGCTCCTGATGCATGCAATCAACACATGCCAGATGTCAAACACTGAGAGACCTTGATAAACACAACAACCTAGTCTCTGCTCTAAAGACCTGATGTGCTGGCAGAGGCACAGAGAGTCCTAGAGAGACAGGAAAAACCCAGCAGGGATTGCAAGGACCAATGTAGTCAGCTGCTGCTTCCCAATTGGGCATGTCCGTCACTATGAAGTAGCGTAGCCATGACAACCCACAGGACACGCTCAAGAGAGTGGGCCTAGTAATGTCCCTCATGATGCAGGAGGCTCCTGAGTCTCTCCAGGCCTCTCTCCACCCCAAGATTACTTAAAAAGAGCCCTGAGCACACAATGTCAGAAACATAGATGATACATTTCCTCAGTTCACAAGTCTGTTTCATTGACTGTGATTTGCCAAGTAACCCTGATTTTACCTGATGGCGTGATCATCTGCAATCAGATTCTTTTACCCCAATCTTAGTTATTAATATTAGTTCTCAGGTTACACATTACACAGTAATACACACACACACACACACACACACACACACACACACACACACACACACACAGAGATTAAAAATGGGCTCACTAGGCAGTGGTAGCGTACACCTTTAATCTCAGTCAGCACTTGGGAGGCAGAGACCCACATGTTGGAGGAAGAAGAGAACTACTCCTCAAGTTGTCTTCTAACCTCCATATGTGCACTGCACGTACACACACACACACACACACACACACACACACACACACACACACACCACTAGATAAATAAATGCGATTTTTAAAAAATGATTTATTTAATGTGCACTGGTGTTTTGCTTGTATATACTCTGTGTGAGGGTATTGGATCCCCTGGGACTGGAGTTACAGACAATTGTGAGCTGCCATATGGGTGCTGAGAATTGAACCTGGGTCCTCTGAGAGAACAGCCAGTGCTCTTAACTACTGAATCATCTCTCCAGCCCCAAATGTGATTTTTCTTTCTTTCTTTCTTTTTTTTTTAAAAATTTATTTATTTATTTATTTATTTATTTATTTATTTATTTATTTATTTATTTATTTATTTATTTATTTATTTATTATGTATACAGCATGTATGACTGTGGGCCAGAAGAGGGCACCAGATCTCATTACAGATGGTTGTGAGCCACCATGTGGTTGCTGGGAATTGAACTCAGGACTTCTGGAAGAGCAGTCAGTGCTCTTAACCTCTGAGCCATCTCTCCAGCCCCTGTAATTTTTCTTAAAGAGACAGATAAACAGGGTGAGTCTTCCCAGCAGCATGAATGCCTTTTGAGTCTCTTATGAGTAACCCTAATAAACTCACTGGTCCGCCGAGCTGGACTTGGGTAGAATTCTTTCTTTGGTCTACTAGTCCTGTCTCTATCTGGAATGAAGAGGCATTTCTTTACATTGCCTCAGGGAGAGTCATGTGATATCCAGAGTAACAGGGAGAGGGGAGAATAGGCGGTCGGGGAGCTGAGGCGAGGGAGGGGGTATGAATTGGGACAATCATGCTCTCTCAGTCCCATAGCCTAGTTTCTCCTACCCTTTGTCTTCTGACCAAACATGCCCAAAGTCACCAAAACTACAACTATCCCCAGAGGGTATCCTCCAGTGCCTTGTACTGGTTCCTCTTGGCTGTGAACCTCTCACAGACACTGATGGTCTACACTGGTCTTCCTCTACACCCACAGGATACAGTTCAGGGTGGGCTGCTGTTTGGGTGGTTAAGTGAAGGTAGGTGAGAACAGGTCAGTGAGCAGATGGAGGGGCAGATGGATGGGCTGGATGAATAATAGAGAGGCAGGGAGAAGAGGGAGGGATGGATGGATGGATGGATGGATGGGAGATGGACAGATGGGTGAACAGATAAGCAAAGGGGCGAAGGCTGGACAGAGACTGGGATGGATGGGAGATGGATTAATAAACGGATGGAGAGTGGGTGGACAAATGGATGGATGGGTAGAAATAGATGAAAGATGGACAGCTATCTGAACAGATAAGCAAGGCGAAGATGGATGGATAGAAATGGATAAATGGAGCAACAAAAAGGTGGGTGGGTGGATGGGTAGTCAGTGGATGGGTGGGTGGGTGGATGGGTAGTCAGTGCATGGGTGGGTAGACTCAGAGATGGAGAAATGGGTGAATAGATAAGGGAAAGATGGATTAGTAGAAACAGATAACAGAGATGAATGGAGGCAAAGATGGCATGTGGACAGATGAATAGACAGATGGGGACAAGGGGAGGGATGATCGGAGGAAAGAGCGGTTGGTGAGTGACTACAGGCTGGCTCAGGCCATGGGAAGGGAAGGTTGGTTGCAGTCCACGAGGAAGCAGCTGAAGAAGACAGAAGAATGGTGCTGTCCGTGCCTGCCTTGCCTCCTTCTGGAGTGACTGTAATCATGAAAGGCCTGAGAAACATTGGGGTCACCTTCCACTCTTTGCTGATCTGATGGAGAAGGTGCCAAGGAAGGAAGAGGCCTCTGCCAAGGTGTTCCTCTGTGTGTTGGGGAGGCATGGGTACCCTTGGCCTGAGTTTGTTGTAGAGAGCTGCTTTGCCCAGCACGAGACCTTGGGTCAGGGACATAAACTCCCCAAGTCTTGACTTTCCTAGTAGCCAGTGGGTCTCAGGTCTTGCATGGACAACAGGAAAAGCCCAAGGAGTGTCTGATGGGGCCATATCCTGCCATGGGCTAGGTAGTTATCATTGGCATAACATCATCCAGGCCAGCTTTAGGCCTCCTTCACCTGGATATCACAACCCACACCTGGGGCTGCCACAGAGGGCTCTTGGGAGAATACAGGCTTTCTGAGACACCACAGGGGATCTAGGAATATGCTACTCATCTTATGAGTTATACCCAACCAGAGAGGCAGATAGTAAGTGGAGGACATACAACCCCGGCCTCAGAGACTTGCTGTCCAAAGGGAGCCTGTGAACTCTTTCCTGCTGGACATGGCGACACATGCCTGTAACCCCAGCAATTTGGGAGCTGGAGGCAGGAGGATCAGAAACTCACTGCTGCATGGCAAATTTGAGGCCAGCCTGGGCTACTTGGGACACTGTCTCAGAAAGTAATTCTGCCTCAGCTTTCTGAGTGGTGGAGGCACAGACGTGAACCATCCACCCAGCACGATGGGCTTTGGATGTCTCTTTCTTTTTAAAGATTTTAAGTTTATTGTAAGTGTATGTGTGTGATTGTATGTATGTGCACCACAAGCATGCATGTGCCTGCAGAGGCCAGAAGGTATGAGGTCACCGAACTGCAGGTACTGATGGTTGTGAGCCACCTAACACAGGTGCTAGGAACCAAACCTGGGTCCTCTGCAAGAGCAGGAAGTGCTCAGAATTGCTGAGCAATCTCCCCAGCCCCAAATGTTTCTAATACGGGGTTGCAACTTATTTCCTTCCTCCTCCTGTCCATGTGTCTTTATCCGAGTGCCTAGGGATCCACTTCCTGTACATGTACAAAATGCCAAGAAGGAGGTAACAACCCAGGCTTACAGACTACCTGCTAGCTGCTAGACATTCTCTCTGTGGTCAGGAAGACCTTTACAGGGGTCACACCTCATAGGTGAACCACACCCTTCACACTCTCTATCCTCCCTGGCACAAAAGCCTGGTGGAGCAGACACAGGGCTCCACACCAAAGGGCTGGTGCAGAGGGTAGGTAGAAGCTGATCTCCCTGCCCAGGGCTGCCCCTAAGGCTGAGCAGGAAAACTAGAGAAGCTGTGGACACTGCCTAGAACCCTGTGGAAGCTCTCAGAACTCCTGGTTCCAAGACACTGAACATTGTTCTCCAGCCTTCTCCCTCAGGCTCTGGAGCTGCCCAGGTCTCCCACATCTGATATTCATTGAGTGACATGCCTGCTATGACAGTGACCAGCCTGGGCTCAGGACACAGGACCCACCCTGCCAGCTGCCTCTCCCTCTCCTGCCTCCTATGGTACCAACTCCAGCTAGTTCTACCACACCCCAAATCAAGGCTGTGCAGGGCACACTGCCCTCCAGGGCCTGTTGGTGCTGACCGTGGGCTGGGAACAGTCTGCTCCTGGCATCAGCAGGCTGCCAGTGTGCCAGTGGGAGCCCAGAGGGCATGAAGACTAGGCTACATGTGGTCAGACACTCATGAGAGACCCCCATGAGCTTCCAGTTCTGGAGCACCCTCAACAGCAGGGCCCCGCAGCCTGTTTGTATTTATCAAGTCATGACTATGCAGCTATTTATACCAAGTCCCATCTTGAGTGTCTGGTGTCCGCTGACTCATGAGAGCCAAGTGGGTTCCGAACTAGTCCAAGACAGCCTCTGGTCAACCAAGAGCTGACCCCAGGGGAACCATTGGAAAATGCAGGACTTCCACACACATACATCCAAAGCTGGAAAGCACAATTATTAAATTAATCCTCATCCTCTACTTCCTGGAACTAGAGGATCATGGGTAGCAGGACAACAGCAGAGTTGGGTATTGTCTGCTCCTTGGTTCCTTCCCCAACCCTGAAACAAACATGACCTGAAACAAAGGCCCATATGGTACCAACCAGGACAGCCGAGCAAAACCAACCAAAGCACGCTAGAACCCTGAGACATTGTCCCCCCAAAGCCTTTAAGGTGTGCCGAGGAGGCTGGCTTCAGTGCATGCTGTCTCTCCTGCTCAGGGGCTGGGAATCTGATTTAGCTCTACAGGAACTCGATGCTCAACTTCTCTCTTGGAAACCTGAAGGGGGTACTCACATCAAGGTACACCAGCCAGCCAAACCAGTTCCAGCCTCCTCTGTGGCTGCCTGCCAGGCTGAGCAAGACACTCTTGGTTCCAGGTTGTTTCCTACCCCTGCAAAGCTGGCCCCTTCCAGCACTTCCCTGGCTCCTCAGGGTGGCCTACTGACTAATTGAGAAGAGATCTTACTATGTAGCAGATAGCACAGCCTGTAGCACAGGCTGGCCTTGAACTCATGGATGATGCTCCTGCTTCAGTCTTCTGAGTGGAAGGCCCTGCCGGAGGACCAAACTCAGGTCCCCTTGTGTCTGTACTTTTCAAACTAAGCCATATCATCAACCTCTTACTGGATTTTTATTTTATAAACATTTTATTTATTTCATGGGTGTTTCTTTGGGGTGGGTGGGGCATGCATGCCATAGCGCAAAAGTGAAGGTCAGGGGACAGGTAGTACTGACTGGTTCTCTCTTTTTACCACATGCATCACCAGACTCCATCTAGCTAACCCCTCCTTACAGGATTTTGTTGTTGGAGAGTGTTGTTCTCACTATGTAGCTGGAAAGGCTGTTCTTGGTTGTCTGCTTGACTACATGTGGAATTAACTAAAACCCAAGAATGGAGGGGTACATCTATGAGGGCTTTTTGCTTATTTTGACAAGGGAAGATCTACCTTTTTTTTTCATTTTTATTTATTTATTTATTCTTCTATTATCAGCTTGATACAGTATAAATTCTTATCCTAATAGTGAAATGTTTCATTGAGGCTTGCCCGGTAATTGAGCAAAACCAAAACTTACTATAAGCCACAGTTATCCTACGGTCCCCCCTGCTATGTAGCCTCCCTGGATCTGTGGGTTGCAGTCTGATTGTTCTTTGCTTTATGTCTAGTATCCACTTATGAGTGAGTACATACCATGTTTGTCCTTCTGGGTCTGGGTTACCTCACTCAGATGATATTTTCTAGTTCCATCCATTTGCCTGCAAATTTCATGCTGTCATTGTTTTTCTCTGCTGAGTAGTACTCCATTGTGTATATGTGCCACATTTTCTTAATCCATTCTTCAGTTGATGGGCATCTAGGTTGTTTCCAGGTTCTGGCTATTACGAATAGTGCTGCTATGAACATATTTGAGCATGTATCTTTGTGTTATGATTGAGCATTCCTTTGGCATATGTCCAAGAGTGGTATGGCTGGGTCTTGAGGTAGATTGAGTCCCAATTTTCTGAGAAACCGCCATACTGATTTCCACAGTGGTTGTACAAGTTTGCATTCCCAGCAACAGTAGAGGAGTATTCCCTTTGCTCTGCATCCTCTCCAACAGAGTCATTAGACTGCCATTAGTGTTTTTGATCGTAGCCATTCTGACAGGTGTAAGGTGGTATCTCAGAGTCATTTTGATTTGCATTTCTCTGATGATTAAGGATGTTGAGCATTTCTTTAAATGTCTTTGTGGTTCTTCTTTTGAGAGTTCTCTGTTTAGCTCTTTAGCCCATTTTTTAATTGGATTGTTCAGTATTTTGATGTCTAGTTTCTTGAGTTATTTATATACTTTGGAGATCAGTCCTCTGTCGGGAAGATCTGCTTTTAATCCAGATCTTTTGAGGTGGGAAAACCCACCTCTAATCTGGACCACACCTTCTGCTGGAATCCTATATAAGGATATGGAAGAAGGAAACATTTGCTCTTTGCCAGCTTGCTCTCGACCTTGCTAGCAAGTCCATTCTTTCACTGGCATTAGAGCCTGCTACTTCAGGATTCCAGCATATACTGATGACCACCTGAGACATCCAGCCTCAAAGACTGAGCAACTACTGGATTCTTGGATTTTCCTTCATAAGCAGCCATTGTTGGATTAGCTGGACCACAGCTTGTCAAGTCATTCTAATAAATCCCCTTTCTATATATAGACGTTCTGTAAGTTCTGTTCATCTAGAGAACCCTGATACATTAGCCCTGGCTAGCTTAGAACTCACTATGTAGTCCAGGTTGGACTTGACCTTGTAAGAGATTGGCCTGCCTCTGCCTCCTGAGTGCTGGGATTAAAGATATAAGCTATCACATTCCAGCCTTACAGGATTAAAAAAATTATTATAGACTTGTGTGTGTGTGTCTGTCTATCTGTCTGTGGAAGATAGAGCATTGGATCCCCTGGAGCTGGAGTTACAGGTGGTCATGAGCTTCCAGACATGGGTATTGGGATCCAAACTCAAGTCTTCTGAAAGAGCAGGAAGTGCTCTTAACTGCTGAACCATTTCTCTACCCCTAGGATTTTTTTTAACTTTAAGAAATACATTTCAAGCAACCGGAACTACCGGTTGCCTTTCACGAGCCATATGTCCCTAGAGAAGGGAGGCACTGTTAGCCAGTAAGGCCCTACTTCCAAATGCCATCACCTCAGGGCTAGGATTTCTACATACGAACTGCAGTAAGAGGACATTCAGACCACAGTGGTGTGCCAGTCAGGCTCCTTAAGTGAGAACTGGGTAGAGTCCAGTTCTAGAGCTATGCAAGGTTAGGGGAAGGGCTTCCCAGAAGGAGGCAGCTTTCACAAAGGCCCTGAGGCAGGAGCAAGCTTGGCATGTGAACCAGAGCTGAGCAGGAGAAGGCTGGAAGATCAGTGGATGCAGCCATGTCATTATGGCCCTCCTGTGTCCTTGTCATTGGGCATAGATTTTATATCAAGCAAGGTAGGGGCTGACTGACAGCCCCATTTGTCACTCAGTATACAGGTTCCAGGGTAGGGAGATCAAAGGACATGGTGCTTCTTTTTGCCTACTATTGGTTCTGTTTCTACACTAAACCTGTTTTATGTAAGAACTCAGGAAAGACATTTCCAAACAAAACATGTCACTGTGAGCAGTGATAGTTCCTTCCCCACACTGCTTCTCTCCTACTGTTTGCCCTTCAGCTGGGATCCTCAGAGCTAAACAGACCCCAGTACCTGTGGGACAGAGTCTGAAGAAGTAGTACATTCCTGATGTAATTCTACCCTTACAAAATGCAAGAAAACTATAAAACAATACAGCCCCAAGCCGTGGGCAACCCGGTACTCTTTCTGGTCTCTTCCCAGGTAACTACCAAGGTCAAGTATTTAGACCCACCTTGTCTTCTGACTCAGATCATCAAAGGCCTGTGCAAAGGGCTCTCAGGTAGCAAGACTGCTGTCTCAAGAGAATCCCTCCCATATCAGTGCCTGCCCCCCAAGGCACAGACCAGTGGGCCCTGAGGGCACACCCAGCCCCACAGAACAGATCCTGACCCTCTTAGGGCAGCATGCAACCTCAGCTTAGCCTTCCATTCCCTCACACATTTTTGTCCCCAAACCTAATTGGTCCAGAAGTAATACCAGCACCCGACAACTGGCCCATCCATGCTCTCTGCCTACAAGGTACCTAGAGAACAGTGCATAGAGTCCCACTGGATCCCTACAGGGACTGTCCCTGGGCCCTCCCTCCAATGGTTCTGAAGCTCAACTATGGAGTACCTGATGTGTGTGTGCCAGGCTTCTGGGCCCTTCCCCAGCACTCCTAGAGGGTCAGAGCTCCACACAACCAAGGCCAGGATAGACATCAACGTAAAGGCAGGCTCTTCCACGTTCCTCCCTGCCCTTCTCTGTCTGTTTTTTTTTTTTTTTTTGATGCATGTTCTCTTGAAAACAAAACAACAGAGGGTAGAGAAATGAGACTCAGCAAGTGATACACCTGCCTGCCCAACATGCACAAGGCCCTGGGTTCCACCTCCAGAGGAAGAAAAAGAAACCAGATGCTATGGTGCACATCAGTAGCCTCGGCACTCAGGAGGCTGAAGCAGGAAGGGGGCAAGACCAACCAGGGTTACCTATCCAGATCCTGTCTCAAAAAGAAACAAGCCATCAACAGAATGGACTGTTCTTGTCTCATTGGTGGCCCTCTCATTTCTTAGAACCCAAAGCTAGAGGTGGAGGTGTCGAGATATGAGCTTTACCCACCTGGGTCCCCAGGGCATTCTTATGACTATGTCCCTGTATGAGGACTGTTGGGTTTAATGGCCTGGGCCTCGGGGCAAACCCTACATTTACCCCAGTTCTGATGTGTACCTTTTCCCTCTTACCACCTGCCTCCGGAAGGCACCCAGATGGCTTAGAGGCTGTGGAGATCAAACCCAGGCCTCCAGACCCCTAGTTCAGGGCCCAGCAGCCACCACAAGCACTGGACTAGGAGTCAGCAGGCCTGGACTTGGATGTCGGCTTCGAAGGGTCCGTTCAATTCTAAGAATAAACATTACCTCCCAAGGTCCTTGCCCTCAGCTCCAGGCTTCACTGGAACTTTTAAAGACCTGTTCCTCCATGAGATCTGCCAATCAGGCAACTTGGTAGCCAGTTCAGAAAGGGTAGAGGTGAAAGCAGTATGCAGGTGACCAGAGGAGGCTTTTACAGGACTCTCAGCTCAGGAGAAAGTCATGACTAACAAGAGACCCTGGGAGATGGTGGTTGTGTCCATCACGGGGACCTGCTTCAAGATTCCTTGCCGTCGTAAATATTAGCGGCAACTGGGTGGGTAGGCACGTCGGGTTCTCACCCCACCTAACCCTTAGTGTTCGCCAAACCAGGAGCACCTGCATACTCCTTGCCCTCCAGCAAGCTCACCTGTTCCAAGGCCCAGGGCTGCTGTTTGCCCCCTGATCTAGTCTGCTGGCAGCTCCCAGCCCTGTCCTGAAGCCTCCCTCTCTCTACAACCTTCAGTAGCTCCCAGGAACACTTCGGGGCTTGGCGGCACCCTTCCATCCATGGGTTCCTTGTGATTGAAAAGTTCATCTCAACCAGGCGGTGGTGGCGCACGCCTTTAATCCCAGCACTCAGGAGGCAGAGGCAGGCAGATCTCGTTGGAGGGAGGGCCCAGGGACAGTCCCTGTAGGGATCCAGTGGGACTCTATGCACTGTCCTCTAGGTACCTTGTGGGCAGAGAGCATGGATGGGCCAGTTGTGGGGGGCTGGTATTACTTCTGGACCAATTAGGTTTGGGGACAAAAATGTGTGAGGGAATGGAAGGCTAAGCTGAGAGTTCGAGGCCAGCCTGGTCTACAAAGTGAGTTCCAGGACAGCCAGAGCTGTAACACACAGAAATCCTGTCTTGAAAAACCAAAAAAATTAAAAAAAAGTTCGTCTCAGCATCATCCAAATTCAAGTCTCTGGCCCTGCCTAGGCGCACTCGAACCTCAGACCCTCCTCCCCCCGCCCCCCAGCGCCTTCGCCTAGGGAGACCCGGGGCCTAGGAGGTCCCTCCAGTGGGGAGTAATTCTCGAACTTTCACAACTAGCTGCGTCCAATACCGCAGGCCTTGGAGAGTCCCGGTGTTCCACGTGTGTTCGCCACAATGCCCCCAGGACACTGGCAAGGACGATGAGGTTGAGCAGCTGAGTCGCATCCAAACACCGTGAAGGGCCCCAGGGTCGAAGCAGAGCGTGCGCCGCCCCTTGCACAGCGCAGTTGGGAGGTTCCCGGCTCCAGGGCGCAGTGTACCCACTGCAATGCCCCTTCCCTGCGCCGCGCGGGCGGGCCCGAGAAGCACAGTCTTTGTCTGCTGCCCCCCTAGTGCTCCCGCCCGCCGTGTCCGAGGCCACACCCTCCCGGCGTACCCAACCAATGAAATTTGGCGACAGCGCCCAGAGCGCGGGGTGTTGTCCGCTCCTCATGTACCCATTGGTTGCGTTCTGCACCCGCGGGGGCTGCGGCCGGCAGGGCGGGGCGCGCGGCGCGAGGTGAGGCCCCGCGTGCTGGACGCCAGGGGAGCGCTTTCCTAGGAGTCATCACCCAGCCGTCATCCGGACTTGCTTTGCGCCCGGAGGCCAGACAGCCAGAGCCCCGACGGCCCGGGGGCCCGAAGAGTAGTAGGACTCAGGCTGCTCGCGGGGCCGGGCCATGGCGCTCGACTTCCTGGCTGGATGCGCTGGAGGTAAGGAGACTCCAGACATGCCAGGCACGCAGCCTGCCTGGTGCGCGGGGACAGGTGTCTTCTCCACCCTTCCGTGTGCACTGGGTGCGAGGTCTGGGGATCCCGGCGGTACCGCGGCTTGGTCAGAGACAGGGACAGACAGGAGGATGCGCCCGCGGATTCTTCCCTCAGGGCAGCTGTTCCGAGCGAGGCTGGTGACACCACGCGACCTCCTAGAGGGCTGGCCTGACCCCAGGCGCCCAGTTCTTCCCATGTGGTGCTTTGAGCTGCTGAATGGCGCCGAAGACGAGGAGGCGGTCCACCGGGTGGTCAAGTCAACCTAACTCGGGAAAGCTTGAGGTGGAGAGCAGATCAGGTTTGCCCATGACCCGAGGTGCGGACCTGTTGAACCTTTAGTCCTTTTCTTGTACCTAGAGGTATAGTTTATTTAGTAAGTATTAAATACAGAGTCTGCTTTAGCCATTGGGATTCCAGGTAAATTGGCGGAGATGGCAGTGGTCTGGCTGGTTATGTCAAGGCTGAGCTCAGCTCTGAGGCCCAGGCCTGGCTCCTCATCCACCTGTCTACTGTCTTCATCGGCTTACCGTCATAGCCCTACCCGGAAAGGTGTCACCTGGAACAGTGATTGACTGGCCTTGGCCTTAGGTGTTTAATCCGTGCTTGCTTCTTCCTGGGTGGAGAAGGCTGGTCTGGCAGGATGCTTTCCCAGGGCAGTGATGTGCGTACAAAGTGCTTGAGAACCAACAGGCTGTTACTGAGTCCTCTGTAAGCTCTGGGAGGGGGACAGAGTCCAGGGATTTCTGCAAGTTGGTGAGGAATTAGAGACACAGAAGGGGTCCCATCTTATCCTCCACCTGTAGCAGGAAGGATGAAGGCCCCTTCTATGGCCAAAGTCCCCTTGTGTTGTTAAAGTCTCCCCAGGGCCAGGGTTCCATTTGTGGTTGCAACCTGGTCAGTACACTTGTCCTGGGGAGCATTTATTCACCCCTTGACCAGACCTGCTTAGAGACCCAGACCACCCCCATGTCAGCCACCCCATGGACTCTTGCTCAAGTAGGCCTTTCCTGCTTGGGATGTCCATCCATCTTCACCCTTTGAGAGCCAGGGTGAGGGGATCATGTGCCCTACCTCTAGCCCTGGTCTGCATTCTCACCCAGGGGGCATAGAGAGTGCCCAACTACATGGAAGTAATGCAGGATGGGTCTGAGATGGAAGTCACCTGCAGAGCTTTTTTCTGGGTTCATCCAGTAAGGGAAGAAATGGGGAGGGGTTGTAACCTCACACTCAGCCTCTCTGAAGGGCTAGGGCTGCTGGGGGACAGACAATGATCTGATTGTGCCCTAGGCATGCCTTCCGGGTTCCCATCACTGCATGCTGTCAGACTTGCGCTGAATGTGGGCATCTGGACTTCTAAAGTGCCTGCCTGGAAGGGATGATAGTGGGCCCTCTTTTCCAGAGGAAGAATGCACTGTGGGTGTGCCTGAGTGGTCCAGCACACATCCTATCCTGCCTTTAGCCTCTGTGGGAGGCAGGGCAAATATCTTGACTAATGGTTGGTTTCTGGTAGGAACCTTTCTTTCTACTAGAAGGGTGGGGATGCTTCTACTCACCCCCTACTGTGTAATGATGGCTCTCAAATCTTGAGGCCACAGTGGCCCCTGGGTTCAGGCTAGGGCATGGGTCAGTGTGACAGAGAAATGCCAGATTATCAGGTGATGTCTGTGTGGAAGGAACAGACCTGTCATCTCTCCCAGAACTGTGCTGCCAGGCGTCTCTAGAACAGTGAGTGGTCCCTTCCTGTCCTTGGATACTCATGGTGTCAGAGTTACCCTGGCTGTGGTCAGTGGCTTTGGATTTAGGAGATGGGTCCCTTTCTGTTGGTGTGACTAGACTGGGAGGATCCTCTTGGAGGTGGTGAGGCAGGGCGCCCTGGCTCTCAAAGGGACTATGAGGTCAAAAGGACATGGGTAGGGGGTGGGGATGCCAAGACCTGCCAGCTTGGGACCCTCTTGGGGCTTCCCAGGAGAAGGGGTGTGTAAGAAGCTTCATAGTCTCTGCAATGTCTTGAAAGTGGCAAAGGCTGTTGTTGCTGCTACCTGTGAGCAGCTGCCCACAGCTGGGCTCTCTGCTGGCACCAGGGAGCCCTTGGAAGGAGAAGGAAGAGGCTAACAGGGTATAACAGATGCTCAGCATACCAGCCACAAGTACGAGGCTTTCCAAAGCCCTAAGAGATTCAGATTAGCCTAAGAAAAGAAGTTCCGGAAGTAAGATTTGCAAATACAAAAAGTGGTAAGCGGGGGTTGGGCCACTGGGCTCTGTGAGGTCCTGGTTCTGCCCTAGTAACCACTAACCAGGAAGTCAGAAGCAGGTGAAAATTGGTGGCTCTCCAAAGGGAGGAAACAAGGTCCCACCACTAGAAATAGGCGACGTTGTGAGGACATGGGGGGCTCCAGGAGAAAAGGAGCCTGCCTGGAAATGGTGACTAGGGGGACTAGATTATAGTGGAAATTTCCCCGGCTTGGAACAGGGCATGAATCTGCAACTCGAGGGCTGGTGGGGTGCCAAGCAGGGTTGCTTTAAAGACACAGGCACACCCTTGGCATTCCCCAGTGGCATTCCTAAAATCCACATGTAAATCTCTGAGGTGTCCTGGTAGAACAATGAGGAGAGGGTTAGCAGCAGGTTTCTCACCGGCAGCACTGGACGTAGCCCAGCAGACTCCAAGAGGAGAGGAGCCGTGGGGATGTGGCGGTGATGGGGGCCTGGATGGGCGAGAGGTGCCTCACTTGTTTTCCTGTGTGAAGACTGGAGTGTTACTAGAAAGTGTTTAATGAACTCGAAGTGCTGAACACGAAAAGAGGAGATCAGAAGAAATCCAGGTAGCACACTTGCAGAGGCAGGCTGGTTGGTCTCTGAGAGTTTGAAGCCAGCCTGGTCTATATATAGGGAGATCCAGGCCAGCCAAGTCACATAGTGAGACCCTGTCTCAAAAAGAGAAAAAAAATGTTGTTGCTTTTGTTGTTGTTGTCGTTGTTTTAGGACAGAACATTACAGAAGGATGCAAGGCACAGTTTGGGAGCAGATGTCACCCTTTAGTGTCTCCTGGCAGGATCTGTGGCCAGCCCTGACAGGACCAACAGAGATGAGTGGTTGGGAGGCAGCCCCAGAGCATGGCTGGGGCTCCAGTTACATCACTCACTGGCCTTGCACCATAGATGTACTGCTGTGGGCTTCTCGGTTCTGGTTTCCTCGTTTGTAGAATGAGTTAACCAGCCTCTGGAGTGGGAGGGTTAGGATCAGCATGAACCCAGGACGATGACGGGCAGTTTGTAATGTTCTTGTTCATTGCCCAACATTAACCACTGCAGTTAGATATAAAGTAAGCAACCAAAGAGAACTTCTTTCTGCATTGCTAAGGGAGGAGCCTAGGACCTCAAGCACTGTGAGCAAGCGCTCCACCACTGGCTATAGGCCAGCCCCAAAGAGGCTCTTTAGCAGATGTTTCCTAGAGAAGGAAACTGCTCTGACTTCTGTTTCTTCTGAGAAACCGGGTCATTGGGCTGCAGGGGTATGGGGATGCAGAGGAGTCATACCCGCAGGCCACTCTGAGGAATGTGCTTAAGCCTTTGAGGAGAAGTGAACCTTGGTCCTGAGGGTGGGGTCTCTGGCAGGCCCTTAAGTGATAAATGTACTGAACATGATTCAGAGTAATGTGACTCTTGGGAGGTGTCAGCCAGCAGGCAGCAGGTCCTCAGGTAGTATTTCCTGGGGGTTCCTAATCTCCAGGCCATCCTGGAGTGTGTGTGTGTGTGTGGTGGGGGAGTAGGGAAAGGACAATGCTAAGTGCCTTTCAGGTGAGAGAAGTAAGGCCAAGACAAGGAGTCCTTTGTGAGCATGCCTGGAGATAAGTAACAGAAGGAAAATTCAAATCCTGGTGGCAGGTTTACCTCCAACTCCAACATCTCCGGTTCAAATCCCAGTACAGGCTAACCTCTGACTCCAATATCCCTGGTTCAAATCCCAGTACAGCCTAACCTCTGACTCCAACATCTCTGGTTCAAATCCCAGTACAGGTATTAACCTCTGACTACAACATCTCCGGTTCAAATCCCAGTACAGGCTAACCTCTGACTCCAACATCTCCGGTTCAAATCCCAGTACAGGCTAACCTCTGACTCCAACATCCCCTGAGCCTCCTGTGGTGTCAAGCTTTGGGACGGTGATGTACAGTTCCCAGGGGACGTAACACCTCAGGGAGCTGCAGGGGAAGGCAGAGGACACAGCTTTGAGTCAAGCAGGTGCTGGCTGCTCCTTGTTACCAGAGGTGAGGTTACAGGAATTCCTGGGATGGGCCCAGGGTCCCATGGGGACCTGGTCAATGTGCCCTTCCCGTGTGTCATGCCTGTCCATCCTTCCTTGCCAGAACCTCACTCTCCCATCCATCCCCCCAGGATTCTGCGAAGCTCTGAGGCACTTGGTCACGGGTACCTTTTTCTTCTAGGTGTGGCAGGTGTGCTTGTGGGACACCCATTTGACACAGTCAAGGTGAGTCTCTTGTGGAGGTACAGACAGGTTGGGACAGGCCTGAAGGGCTTCTGCCCCAGGAACACAGTAAAGGTCATCCCTCAGGGTTTGAATGAAGGTAGGACAGCTGTCCCTCACTGAACACACTGACGGACTTCCTCCTGGGCAATGCATCTCCCACAGAGGCTGAACTGCATGTCGAGCTCACAAGTTCTGCTTTACTTGGCAGGCAGAGACTGAGGTGTTGATGGACAGGTTTCTTCTCATCAGCTGGAGAAAGAAAGCTCACCTGGTTGTGATATATAGTTCCCCTAGCATCTTCTTTGAATTATTATTATTTTACGTGTTTTGTCTGCACCTATGTCTGTGCGTCTTGTGTGTGCCTGGTGGAACTGGAGTTTCAGGTGGTTGTGAGCAGCTATGTGGGTACTGGGAATTGAACCCAGATCTTCTGGGAGATTAGCCAGTGCTACTAACTGCTGTTAACTCCATCTCTTTGGCCCCACCCCTAACATCTTCCTGAAAGAAAAGGCAGAACTACAAGGAATCAAACCCTCCTGGGCCAGCTGTGGTAGGTATAGCACACCTGAAATTCCAGCCCTGGGGAGAATTGAGAATTTGAGGCCAGCTTGTGTTAGAAAAGCTGCCTCCGCCTTTAATCCCAGCACTCGGGAGGCAGAGGCAGGCGGATCTCTGTGAGTTCAAGGCCAGACTAGGTTACAGAGTGAGTTCCAGGGCAGGCTCCAAAGCTACACAGAGAAACCCTGTCTCAAAAAACAAAACAAAACAAACAAACAAAAAACAGCCTGCCTCAACAGCTGGGTGTGGTAGCAGACCCTAAGGTGGTGGCATTGGGAAGCTAAGGCAGGAGGACCACAAGTTTGAGGCCAGCCTGAGCTGTATAGCAAGACCACGTCAGAAACACACACCTGAAATAAACTCGGTATTTCTCTCCCGGTCTTTATGGATCGGTGCTTGTCATGACTTTTGAGTGCTGGCATGGACCTGCAAGGCAGTGTCACCCAGCAGGGTCCTAAGGAACACCACTTTTCAAATGCCAAGGCTCTGAACATGGAAGCCCTGGGGCAGGTACCTCTTGAATCACGCCTTGATTAACTGGAGCTCCAGTTTCTATGGGTCCCAGAATAGGGGTCAAGGAGACAGACGCACATCCTCTGGTGGAAAACCCCTGTGGAAGCTTCCCCTGTGGCTGGAGTTGTAGGTGCTCAAGCTAGTCGCATCAGGACCCTGCCTCAGCCATTTTTCCAGGCGCCCATTGGCCCTGTGAGCTGTAGGGCCCTAGGCCAGATCTGTACTTGGTTCAGGCTCTGAGCCAGGCTCCTTTCACACTCGTGTAAAGGAAAAGCTGGAGGCTGGATGCATCAACCCTAGCTGGACTGAGTCTCACTTCCTGGTTCTTCCTTTTTTTTTTTTTTTTTTTCTTCAGTGAACCAGGTGTTTGTTGGCAAGGAAAGGAGCTCATTAATTCAAAGGTGGGATTTCTTCCTGTGTGGGTGTAAGGGCCTGGCCTTGTGCACTGTCTTCGACCTTACAAAGCTCTGTCCTTGGTCCAGGCATCTGTGAGATGAGGGGGTGGATGAGGTCACTAAGGCTGGTTGTTCATTGAGCACCAGGATAACTTGAGTCACGTCAATAGGTTAATGCGGGCTCTAGACAGCATAGACCTGTTACTTGGTATCCCTGGGGAGAAGGCTGGAGAGCAGACTCTTGGCAAGCAGTGGCCCATGAATTCCAGTCATAGGTTTGCAAGAACGAGGCCCTGATACACCCTGTCCACAAGGCGACCCGCCATGCCCACATTCTGTCTGGATGCCTTTTCCCAATCACAACGAGCCTGGCCATATTCACATATCATTGATTTTATAACTTGTGGTCAAATGTCTCCAACACCTCCCACAGCTGTGTCCAGCCAATAAGAGCCTGGCATTGCAGAGGCTGCTGACTTGACAGGTACTAGATTCTGAAGCAGGCCCCTCAGGGGCCTTTTGTTCTGGTAGCCCCAACTCCTCCGAGCTGCTGAGCCCATGACCACCCTTCTGCAGTTATTCAACCATAAGAGTCGCTCCCTTGCCCATGGATACCTGGAAAGTGATCTTTCAGAAAATTAATTTGTATATACCCCAACACCTAACTATGGTTGGGCCATTGGCATTCAAGCAAACTGGCCATTAAAAAAGCTGTTTGTTTTTGGTGTGTATGGGTATTTTGTCTGTATGTGTGTATGTGTACCATGTGTGTGCCTGATGCCCACGGAGGCCAGAAGGGCACTGGATCCCCTGGAACTGGAGTCACAGAAGATTTGAGCCACAGAGTGGGCGCCTAGAATTGATCCTGGATCCTCTCATAGAGGAACCAGTGCTTTTAATCACTGAGCTCCCTCCCCAGCCCTTTGCACATGCTAGGGAAACTAGTGTAGCTCTCTCACCAAGCTACAACCCTAGCCCATGACTGACCCTTTCTGAATCAGGTCAAGGGAGCTCCCTAGCTCCTGAGACCGTGAGGGAACCTAGTTTCTCCCATAGCAGTAACATGGATTCCAAGTTCAGGATACGCCCCTGTCCTCATGCCACCATGAAGCCAGCGTATCAGGAGCAGATAAGCTCTCAGGCAACAAAGAGTGCTTTGACGTGGAAGAGGTTCTGGGCTACTGGGCCTGGCAGTGGCCCCAGGTCCTGGAGTTATTGCCATGGGTACCTAGGGAGGCTGTCAGCTGGCTGTCACCGCTCATGACTCATGGTCATGGTTGTCAAAGGGCTACTAGCAGAAACCAAGCAGGAGCAGAACGGGGGCCCAGTACCCCACCCTGATGGAGGTTAGTGGTGGGACACCAGGCTGGGATTCCCCTTTGACCTCAGCCTCATATGGGAGGACAAGTGTCACCTGAACAAGGGTTGGCCCAAGAGCTGGTCTGCACACGAGAGACCTCTCCTCCACTCGTCTTGGGGACTCCCAGCCCATCTGCAGCTGACTGTCCTTGTAGCTGTTAGCTCTCAAACACCCAACCCGACCGCACCCTGGAATCCCAGTTTCACAGAAAGTTACTTGGCTGCCAGCCTTGTGCACTGCAGGCCAGGGGAATTGCTTCAGTGGCCCCACCCATCCCCGCTCACCGGCTCTGCCCCTGCAGGTGCGGCTGCAGGTACAGAACATGGAGAAGCCCCAGTACCGAGGGACTCTGCACTGCTTCCAGGCCATCATCAAGCAGGAGAGTGTAAGTGCCTGGGCGGGGCAGTTGTAGGGCTGGGGAGCAAGCCCGATGGTGCTACTGTCCCAGGCCAAAGGCCCAGGAAAGGTCACCGGGGTACTCATGAGGGACCATGGATGTGTGAGTTGATTGATTGAGGACTCTGCATCTAACAGAATTCTGCATGCTGCCTATGAGCAGCCAGGTGGTTAGGGCTGCCACTTGGGTATGAAGGGCCTGAGGAGAGTGGCTGGGCAACGCAAGCAGGGCGACACCCCTCATCCTGATGGCATTTCTGTCTCTGCAGGTGCTTGGCCTGTATAAAGGCCTGGGCTCACCACTAATGGGGCTCACCTTTATCAATGCCCTGGTGTTTGGGGTGCAAGGCAACACCCTTAGGGCCCTGGGTCAAGACTCCCCACTCAATCAGTTCCTGGCTGGTGCAGCAGCAGGTGCCATTCAGTGTGTTATCTGCTGCCCCATGGAACTGGCCAAGACAAGGCTGCAGCTGCAGGATGTGGGCCCTGCTCGAACCTACAAGGGCTCCCTGGACTGCCTGGTACAGATTTACCGGCACGAGGGCCTGCGTGGCATCAACCGAGGCATGGTGTCCACCCTTCTGCGCGAAACGCCTAGCTTTGGTGTCTACTTCCTTACCTACGACGTACTGACGCGTGCCATGGGCTGCGAGCCAGATGACCGCCTGCTGGTGCCCAAGCTGCTGCTGGCGGGGGGCACGTCAGGCATCACATCTTGGCTCTCCACCTATCCTATGGACGTGGTTAAGTCACGACTGCAAGCCGATGGGCTGCGAGGAGCCCCTCGCTACCATGGCATTGTCGACTGCATGCGGCAAAGCTACCAGGCTGAGGGCTGGCGAGTCTTCACACGAGGGCTGGCCTCCACGCTGTTGCGTGCTTTCCCGGTCAATGCTGCCACCTTTGCCACAGTCACTGTGGTGCTTACATATACCCGGGGTGCAGAGGCCCAGCTAGACAGTGAGGCAGTTCCGGGCACTCCTGCCACCCCTGCTGGACCTGCTCTGGCCCAGCCTTCCAGTCTGTGATGCTGGCCATCTCACCAACCCCCAGGGCCACGTTGCTGAAACTTGACACAGATAATGTGGCTCCTCAGCCAGTCTCCTTGCTCCTTGGCTGGTGATACCAGCTAGGCTATACCCCACTGACCTCCTATTTTCTTAGCTGTAAAATGGGGACTTTTCCTCATACATGGTACATTCGGGAAGCCTGGCTAAGTCTACACTCTGTAGACAGCACTACCAAGAAGAATCTCCCAAGTCCTACACTCCAGGCTCTCTGCTGAGCCAACTGTAACAAGCTGGCCAAGGACCCACCCATTCCCCAAATCTTCCATCCATAGAGTCCCAGGAAGATACTTGGCCACCTCTTAACATTAGGGGGGCAGAGGACAGTGTAGTGTGTCCCTGGCGATTCTCAGCTGCTGCCCTTTAACTGCAGATGGGGGCTGGGGACCTGGCACCAAACATGTTGAAGATCCTGCCCATGCGGGTCCTGCATGGGGAGCAGATAGGCTGCTGGCCTCAGTGTCTCCACAGTGAAATTGTGTGACAGCTGTGGCAAGAGGAAGTCGTCTCATCCCTGGGCCTCTCGCTTCCTGTCTGTAAAATGGGGAGCGGGGTCAGCCCATGTCTGACTCACTACTGCCAGCCAGGATTCCCAATCGTGGGTAGGCAGGATGGGCAGAGGGCCCAAGAGAGCACAGTGTGGGATTGCTCCACTTCCCAGTACATCTTTTCTGGGCATTCTCGCTTGGTGCCTGTGCCCCTGGTCTTGACACCAGGTAGAGTGTAACCAGTTTGGGTCCACCCAGGCAGGGGACTGTGCCCTCCAGCTGGATGTCACTGTTGTACAGGACCCTCTAAAGGAATAAAGTCTTGTTTTCTAAGTGTGCAAGGCTCCTCTCTGCATGGTGCAAAGGACTTAATTTCCTTTCTTACCCTGGATTCAATGGCTATGGTCTATGTTCTTGGACCTGGTCACATGACTTGAGCAGATCAAGGGTACATTGAAGCCTTCCTGGTGCTACATGGTGGTAAATGGAGGCATGGGCATTACTTAAGGTAAAATCACAAACATGCCCTTTAGCAAGTATTGGATGTCATTCTAGGAATCGGAGGCCTGTGGCGGGGACATGGGTCCCCTGGTAGAGGAAAGGTATGAGTGGAGATATCCAATGACCTGGGCAACTAGTGTGTGCCCTGTGACGAGTCTCTATCCTGCCAGCTCCCAGATCAGGACATGGAGACTTACTATTAACATGAAAGCTCAGTCTTACCTTAGCTTTGTTTCTAACTAGCTCTTATAACTTAAATTAGCACATTTCTATTAATGTTGCCACATGGCTCAAGGCTTTTACCTCTCCTCCTGCATGTCCTGATTCCTCTGCATCTGGCTGCTGACTCCCCCTTTCTTCTTCCCAGAACTCTCTCTGTCCAGAAACCCTGCCTATACCTCCTGCCTAGCTATTGGCCATTTAGCTTTTTTTTTTCTTTTGGTTTTTCAAGACAGGGTTTCTCTGTGTAGCTTTGCGTCTTTCCTGGAACTCACTCGGTAGCCCAGGCTGGCCTCGAACTCACAGAGATCCACTTGCCTCTGCCTCCTGAGTGCTGGGATTAAAGGTGTGCGCCACCACCGCCCAGCAGCCATTTAGCTTTTTTTTTTTTAAAGATTTTATTTATTTATTATGTATACAGTGTTCTGCCTGCATATACGCCTGCAGTCCAGAAGAGGGCGCCAGATCTCATTACAGATGGTTGTGAGCCACCATGTGGTTGCTGGGAATTGAACTCAGGACCTCTGGAAGAGCAGCCAGTGCTCTTAACCTCTGAGCCATCTCTCCAGCCCGCCATTTAGCTTTTTATTAAACCAATCACAGTGACATATCTTTACACAGTGTAATCAAATATCTAGCAGGATTTCCTCCTTTTTTGTCTATATAAAGGGGAAAAGGTTTTAAGTGTAACATAGTAAAACTATATACAATAAGAACAATTATAAGGTAAGAATTAACATTTACGATATCCAATCCATTTGTATTTGGCAAGTTTTGAGAAATTATTCTATTATCTATCTTATGTTGATGAGTTCAAAGTTTTATACTTACACTATTTTTTATCATAACTTGTATTACCAACCCAAAACTATCTATCTAGACTTCAAAACATTTTCTTAGATTAAAAATTTGTAAGCTTTTATGTCTCTCAACCTTATATACTTCATAACTCTTTTGTGAGTTTCTTTCCTGAATTTGGTAACAAGGAAAACTTTAACTGTATCATCTTCAACTCCATCAGAGACCTAAGAAGGATATAATGTTACCTGAGTAAACACAAGGAAAACTTTAACTGTATCATCTTCAACTCCATCAGAGACCTGAGAAGGATATAATGTTACCTGAGTAAACAAGAAGTGTGAAGGAAACAACTTCCAAAACTATAGAAATGACAGAAACATCTGGCTGCCTGGACAGTCACCCCAGGTTCCTCTGCAATCCTGGGGCATCCATCTTGGGCCTCCAGGCCTAGAATATCTGACAGACTTTTCTGTAAAGCAGGAATTTTGAAGGACTGCCCTACCTTGTCTTATCAAAGTTAGGCAGTTGCCTTTTTGTGTGTCTTGCTTGTCCAGTTTGGATAGCATACTATCAGCAGTCGAGGCAAGGTCAGTTTCTTTGCCCAATGGCTAACTTTGCTACAATAAAAGCAAACTCCATATGGAGGTTCTTTGATGCCCATCATCTTTTGAAGTAAATTGGTGCTGCCAGGAGCAGATGTATCTCACTGTTATGAAAAACCTTATTAAAACATTTTAAAGGCCATACTCTGTAGGTCTTGGAAATATTTCAAGATCACCTATCTACCTAAAATATATGTTTAACCTTGAAAACATACCTAATATGACTACAAGTTTGCTTATTATAGATGACTAACTTCTAATCTGCATTTCTTAATTATACATTACATTTTAAAATGAGCTGCATAAGCACAATACCCCAAACAAGAGTAGAAACATACATAGATTATAACAAAAATAACTTTAAATTTGTATCAGTATACTAAAATCCATACCGATGTAAAATATTTGAGGTTCATAGTGCCTTTTTAATCCTATATTCCTATATTCCCCCCCTCCCACATGATGACAAACATTCATAACCCACCAAATTACCAAAAAACACCCACCCCACTTCTTGAGAATGTGAGCGTTGTGTTCTCTAGACTGCTTCCTGTTGTCTGTGGGTGATGGCATCTTTAGAGGACCTGAGGAAATTGAGATAATGGTCAAGTCCTGGGAAAACTGGTCCTAACATTTTTTGTCCAGTCTGTGGAACGGGAAAGCACAAGGCTTATCTGCAGTCCTGGCTAGAATGGTCTGTGAGGCTGGACCATCTCAGTCAACAGCCTTGAAGTTGTTCTGGATGCAGAACTCTGAGGAAACTGCAACAGAGGCACTCTGAGAGGCTGGATCACCTGGGCTACTTGTCTTTATTGGTATCCGGTCCCTTTCTTTTCCCCTCTGAAAATACACAGACTTTTAAAGGTAACTTGTATGTCTGCATCAATACAATATGGAATGTACAGTGTGCACAAGTCAGTTAAAGATCATACTTTTTGTTCTATGTTTGAGCAGGTAAAAGGCATTTGTTAACTTCTTCAGTTTGTTTGGACTGTATAAGCAAACTGTAATATACATCTCTATCCATGCATGTAACAAGTCATGAGGACTCTGTAGCCAACAAGATTTATCATGTCTCATCCAGTCTCAGAGCTGTTCCCTGGTCAAAGGATCAGCTCGTACATCACCTGTCTTGTAATTTTTCTTTTGTTCCTTTTCAGGAGGTCTTCCCCAGTCAAATCTAATCTCGATTAACTCTGAAGGAATCCATAGCCTTTCATTTGCTGTGGAGACAAAAGCACAATCTCTCCCCCAACACAACACATTTTTCAACTTTCATTCTGAAGCCACGGCATCTCAAAATATCTAGGCTGGTTTAATCCAGCAGTCCCTTTCATAATCCCGTGTCTCTCAGCAGCTGTCATTTGCTCATCAGCATTCAAAAAATTCAAAATCAACCAAGCACCACACAGGATCCAGACGCCCTGTGTATTTCCCATCCTTTACATGGCTTTTTAAAAAATTATTATTTTCCTCTTTCTTTAAAGACTTCACTTTATTATCTTTAAACTATTTTTTTTCTATAACTGTCTATATCCATTTTTGTTTTTCTTTAGCATCAGACACATTTTTAAACATTCTGTATCTATTTAGTGATTTTTTTTTCAGGATTGGATTTAGCTTTACTAAGTGCCCCCAGCATTCTCTGACCATGTGAACCAAAGCTGAAATCACTAGGCGGTGGCTAGGTCCTCTGCTCCCCTCAGTTCTGAGTGCCTACCCTCATGCTGGCAGGCACCAGTGGGAGCTGCATTTACTGCCTCAGCTCTTGGAAGTTGCTGAGCCCACTTTCTGAAATCTTCTGGAGCAGCCGACTGTTGTGAGTACTTGAGGAATGGACCATGTCGTGACTGCAGCAGCAACAGCTGGCATGACTTCTCTGTCTGTATGAAATGTAATGAGTCTTTTTCTGTCCCACCAGTTCCCAAATAATGACACGGAGACTTCTTATTAATTATGAAAGCTTAGTCTTAGCTTAGGCTTGTTTCTAACTAGCCCTTATAACTTAAAAATTAACCCATTTATATTCATCTATGTATGTGTTGCCATATGGCTCATGGTTTTTAACCTCTCCCCTGCGTGTCCTGCTTCCTTAGCCTCCAGCTGGCCACTCCCCCTTTCTTCTTCTCAGAGCTCTCTGTCCAGAAGTCCCGCCTCTACCTCCTCCCTAGCTATTGGCTGTTTAGCTTTTTATTAAACCAATCACAGTGACACATCTTTACACAGTGTAATCAAATATCTGGCAACAGTGCCCAGCTCAGCATCAGGGACTACTTCCTGGAAGGAGCCACCCTAGCCTGCCACATGAAGTCTCTGCCTCCCATAGCCACCCGAGCTGCACCTGGAGGCTCTTCCCAGGCTGAGGCCCAATGGCTCCTTAGTATAGATCAGAGCTACCCATGTGTCCCAGCTCTGCCATAGCACCCCTTAGTACCTAACTCCAGTATGTGAAATCAAGCTTGTTCAGCTTCTAAGGACAGGAGGCCAGAATGGGGTGTCTAGTTGCCCCCCCCATGTCCCCTCCTCCCTCCGACTTTTCTCCTCTTTGCTGTAAAAGAAAACAAGTGATACTCCCTGGGCAGGATGTAGGAGTCTGTCCCTGGCTCTTCTCTCAGCCTAGTGGCTGTATTTCCCAGGGGCAATCTGGATAGGGCCTAGGCCACAGGGCACTCAGGGTCCCCATCACCCTCAACTCCACACACCTGCGCTTCTCAGAAAGGTCCTAACATGACCAAGCAAGGCTGTTGGGACGGAGTCAGCTGCCTCCCTCCAGTGCTAGGGCTACAAGACACAGCCAAGCCCTTTGCTTGAATGATGGACAGGAGCCACTTGAGGCTGCCCTGTGGCTTCCTCTGAATTGATAACCTCCATAGTAGCTCCAAACAGTAGAAACTGATAGCACCACATGTAGCACGGTCACCACTGCCACCATGAGAGCTGACTGATGGGCTCAGCAATGAGTCTGGGTTAAAAGGACTGGTGGTGGTTAGTGAGGCTATCTTAATTTCTATTGTGTGCTGGGGGCACACGGGTGTGAGTTAGCAGACAACTTGTGGGCATTCTCTCCTTCCACCGTGGAGTTCCAGGGACTGGACTCAGGTCACCACGCTTGGAGGAAGGCGTCCTCATCTGCTGATCCGTCTCGCAAGCTCAAACTTGTTTTACATTTTCTATTTCTCCTTGACTTGCTCTCAATCTGGTAAGTACTATATG